GGTAGGTTGCACAGTCAGTCCAAGCAGCTTTGCTCTGAGTAGACAATTTGCATCGGCTTCGATTTCAGCCCGCCCACTGATTTGAGGGTGTTAGTGAAGTTCCCGTGAAGGCTGTTGCGGCCACCATCACAGAACAAATACCCATCAACGCCAGATCTTCTGTCTATTAAGGTGCGCAAGTTTAAACAACACATTTAATGAATCAAATTGGAATCAGAGCACAAAAACTCCCACAATTCCAATTCAACAGGTTGACAAAATGTTTTCTAAGTGAATTGTAAAACAAACAAGAATCGAACTCAACCAAGGCTCACATCAGACTGGTCAGTGCAAAACCTTCTGCGTCACCTGAACTGAGGCACGCGCCTTTCTATTGAGGTTGGCGCTCTCCTTGACATTCTTCTTTCTCGGGGATCCAGCGCCTTCGAGTGGCTGCTTTCCCATGGGATGGTTGGCGCTGTTATTTTTCCTATAGACTCCGACGAGCTCCGAGCAGCAAACAGTAATACGTGTCGGGAGCTGCTGTCTGAGCGGGCTGGCTATGAGGGCGTCCGGTATGTGATGTGACGCTTGCCAGGCGCAGCCCAAGCCGAACACTCAACTTGTGCATCTTTTGCCCATGCAAGGCATCCACACCCATCCATCCATCCATCCATCCATCCATCCATCCATCCATCCACCCAGATCCAGCCATCCCCATCCATTCATCCATCCGTCCATCCATCCATCCACCCATCCATCCATCCAATTCGAAACTAAACCCGAAAACGAAGCAGGGACATCCCACCTTTGTTATTTAATAGTCACATTTCAGGGACAGAACCACTGTGCAGGCCAGTGCGCGGAGCCACTTCATTCTGTGGGGCCTGACCCTCGGGATTGTCAACGACTGGCTGGTTGATGCGCGGTTTCGCTGTGGCCCCATCACACTGCCTTCCCGTCTTTGACAAAAATTGCGTGAAAAAAGGAGCTGGTTGCGCGGACCAATCAATTTGTGGGCAAACTATTTACCCACTTGGCAGGCCATTACTTATGCCCACTCCTCAGAGTGCCAAGCTTGCACTCTTGTGCTAACTTTCACGCATCGAGGTGGGAGTGTCCCCGGTGGATGTTCGAGCATGCCTTAGTTCGATCCTTTGTGCCCGTTCTTTTGTGACGAGGGCAAAAGTGGCCGCGTTGGATTGTTTCAGGATGGATGCAAGCCAAAGTTTCGTTCAGAAATGGACTGGTCGCCCACTAGGTGCAGCTTGAACTTGAGTTCGTTCTGTCTTTGAGAGATCGCCTGCAGGAACACCAGATGATGAAGCTGAGGCCTTGCGTTTGGCGCTTACTTGTGTCCCAACCATTTGGCAAGCAACAGGTGCTTCAGTTTGTGAGGTGCTGCTTTGTCAGAACACCCGTGCAGCTCTTAGTGAGCCATTACAGCAGCAGGAATGCCAAACTTGTTTTGACTTTGGTGCTTGTTGGTGGCAAAGTTCTTGACAAGAGAAAATGCCAGTTTGTTTATCGACTTTGAGGCATCCAAGAGCTTCAAGACCTGACTTTCTTCTTTGCACAAACCTGGCGGTCTTTTGTTGGTTGTTGCGGCGTGTGCTGCTTGGAGGGCGTTGTTCTGGCTGAGTTATGGAACTTTGAATGGAGTCAGAGCAGCAACATCTGAAGCTAAGGTCGGGGTATGCGAAACAAATTGCAGGTCTTGCAACAAGTCATTTTTTGGCGTCGTTAAGAGGTTCGTCAACTGAAGATATGTTGCGTTGAGCCGAACGAGCCAGGACGTCGGGCCAGCTTTGCACGTGCGCGGATCTCGGGCTTCAAAACAGAACTATTGGTTCACAAAAGGAGCTTGCAAGTGCATAATATATACCTGTGTGGGTCCTCAAAACTCGACCTGCCCGACCGAATTGCGCAGGAAACAGTCTAGCAGTTCCCAGTCACAGAAAATACAATCCGCAGGATCCAAAAGGAGATTGCTGCGGGATGTGCGTGAGACGAGCGCCTTCCCCAGCTGCGCGGAGGCTTGGAATGGCATTCTTGGCGGATGTGCCGGACATTTGGCGCAGCTTGGCCAGACGGTGGGCTGTCCCCATCAGAACCTTTTGAAGGAAACATCTAAAACATCAAGCGCCCTGTTCCTGCTGCCAAGGCTTAGAGATGCTCGAGGACTTCCACCTTTGGTGGTCGGTGTGCTAGCGCGATGTGGGCATGTCCTGCTTGGAAATAGGCCTGCATAGTTTGATGCCAACAAGAGTGTAGTGCTTGCCCAATTTCAATGGAATGGTCATCATGGCAAGTCTTGAGTACACGGTGAAGGTTCATCCCCGTTGAAATTTTCTCCACAAAAAAGGGAGAGCTTGAGGCCCTTCTGGAGGGGCCATTTTGTAACGAGGCGTTTTTTTGCACCTACAGTGCTACACAACCCGATTTTTGTGGAGAAATCACTTTGCTGTATGGCTGGCTACGCATAAGATAGTAATCTTGAGGCATCATCATTTTGTACAAGCCCACTCTGGCACATGCCACTTTGCAGATGGCAAAGCAGCTTGGGTCAGAGCTTTTTGTAAACTCCAAGCCTGGTCCCCTTACAAACTGTTCGCCCAAACCTCTCGGGGATGAAATACGCATCAGCCTCTTGAACCCTTGTGTGCCCACCCATCCTTACTGGCCTGGAGCAAATTCTGCATGGTAGCGTCATCGTGAACTGCAGTGGACTGAGATCGTTTTGGCTTGGAGCAAATGTATCAGGCGCTTCTTTTGGGCAACTCAGGTCCCCACTATGTAATATATGTTCATCTCGCAGCTCCACCTGGGATAAGTAATTGAGCGTGACAACAAACCTAGCAGCTACAGGTGCAACAGTGCGCGAAATACGCTGATTTGGGTCAACCGACCAGCTAATGAACAGGCCAGCGCCCAGCAAGTAGCGACCACATCTTCAGTTTCTCCAAGCAAGAACAAATGTGCAAAACAAGTGCCATAAGGCACTTTTTTTTGGATTTGTGGGATTTCCAGGCTTTGCATTCTTCAGTTTCTACAAAATCCTTGGCTGCACGCCGGCCAAGGCAGTCAGTGGACAAGGATATTTTCGCAGCCTCTCAGGCAGAGAAGAACTTGTATTTTATTTCCAAAGCAGGAGGGTGCTTAGGGGAATGCAGGAGAGGTGAAAGTGGGGAAGACTGGTTGTTCTAGGAGCTTCTGTCTGTCCAGATGCGGTCGGCCCAGAAAAGCATTGAAACACATTGCCCAATGGACCTTTAGTGTTTTTAGGGCATCCAAAGCCGTTGTGTTTGAGGTGGTGGCAGATGGGGGTCAGGATCCCCTTCGTGCCGCTTGCTGGGACTTACCACACTGGGGCTACATATGTGCTGGGCTGAGCCCGGACATGAGTTGCATTGGATTGATGAAACTTGCGCACCCTCTTCGCGAGTGCGGTGAGCAGATATTTGATCAATTGCCTAGCTGCCTGCCAGCCGCATTTTTTAATCAAACACTTGAGAGAATGCGGCTGGATTTCTTTTTGTTTGTTTTGTCATTCTTGTTGGTTTGATCACGTGCCCTAGCTGCGCGGATGATAAAGACAACACGGGCAGATGACATTTGCGTTTAGGTGTCGTCGCATTTTTGGAGTTTTTGCGTTTGGAGGCTTCAGTACACAATGTGGTTGCCGCGGCAACTATGATTTCTCACCTGATGCGGATATTTCCAATCGTTGAATAGTTTCATGTACCTTCTCCTTCTACCAAGTAGTAAGCTGACATGTTCACATACCTGCCTTCATCAAACTTATTCCAATGCTTGTTTTGGTCAACTCAACTGCGCTTCTGCCGCTTCGTCAGGATCCACCCCAAAAACCAACGCTGCTGGTCTTGCGGAGTGCTTTTTGGCATTTGCCAGGGCGCCTGAGTGAATTTGGTGCGCTCTCTTTCAGGGACGACAAATCGTTCGTTGGATGAGGAGGCAAGAGAAAAACACGCCCTACTTTTGCCATGGGTGTTGAGCTAGAAGGGTTCACCCTGTGTGAGAATGTAGCTTGCTCCAGTCCGGTATGACCATTGTTGCATTGGATGTTGATGTGTCTTCACTGTTTGCTGTTGGAGGGCAAACTTGGAAAACAAGTTGCATGGGTGGGACGACGAGAGACGAACATTGTGTTTAGAGACTCCTTGAACTACAGCCAAAGTGAAATACGTTCCTGGTCCTATGGCATTTTCCATTTCCATGTTGCTTGTTGGGACGGAGGCGCCCGAGCCAAGCCAGACGACTCAGGACTCAACCCAACAATACACAACAAATGTCTGCCTTTGACGCGACAGCATTGGTTGCTAGTGTTTTTTCCTCTTTTTTTAAGGCGCCAGTTCTTAAAGATGCGAGGTAAACCTCGAGGGACGTGATTGTAAACCACGAAAAGTGTTGCCAGAGCTTGTCCACACTCCATTTCAACCTTGACTGAGGCCGGCTGGGCGTGTTTTTGCTTCCCTGATGGACCGAGGGCTTTGTGGCCCTATTGCTAGTATAGAATGCATAGACTAGGAAGTGCAGGTGCAAACAGGAGTTGCTTGCCCTTGGCAAGTGGTGGCAAGGCCAGCGCCCTGCTATTGGACACACCCCAAGCAAAGACCATTGATAGCGCCCGAAAAAGGAAGAGATAGTGGGATACTGTACAAGTTTGAATGTGGCCTCAAAAGACTTCGTTGCCCAGAGAGAGGAGCGCTTCGCTTCAACGGGTGTGTCAGGCACCCAGAGGTTCAGCTCAAGAGCAGCCACCACGGGGGTGCGAAGTGAACGAAGATCCGAACCAGAGGACCAGAAGGACATTTGTTTGGCGATTGGAACCAGAGGGACATGGTTTGCTTTTGCACCAAGCATCGCCCTGCGTTTTGGCGTGCGAGGCACTTGGCATGGCTGGGGCGATATGATTTTTCCGTGCCAGAGCATGGCCCGCAGGAGAGGCACAGTGGCTATACGCGCAGACTTGCTGACGCAGTTCGTGAACACTCCTCAGAACCCCGCGGTGCATAAGGGGCAGTCAAACCTCCAATGCTTTGGGGCTGAGGCCCGCCATGGGACACAAGGTTCACTCGGTTCTGAGCTTTACGAGACCTTTGACATCAGCATTTATCCCGAGGAAAAAACATCTCTGATTCTTCTTCAAGCACCTTGGATGTCAACTGCGGCCCTTGCTTGTTGGAGGTTCACGCTGGACTGCATAGCTTTGTGGTTGACCAAGGCTGATCAGGTGTGTATTTTCCCCAGCCGGCGGGTGAATCTATGTTCGGTCCCCTGAAACTGGGGCCATTTTATCGTTTGCCCGGTTTCCTGGAATCCGCAAATCCAATAAGAGACCGCTGGCCTGAAGCATCATTGGGCCCTTCCTGTGGAATCCTGTGGAGGGTATTTTGACCCTGCATAGCAGGGGTTTACCGCTTTGAGGGCCTTGATTCTTAGGCACTTATGTTCTCATAAAATCTGCATCTTGCCTCACCGTGCTTGCATTTGCCTGGCATGTTGCTTCTACTTCACTTGCTGAAGGAGCCAAAGTGGCGCAGCCTCGACGAGATGGCTCGGCACACATGTGCGTGAGGGAACTTGGAGTGGAAATCTTCCAAACGAGGACGGTTGGAAAACTCTGTTTGTCTTACATGTTCATTTTTTCAATATGTGCCAATCAAGGGTGATCAGCTGACATCAGCACTGATGCTGGGCTTAGGCTAGATGTGCCAGCGGAGCTGTCGCAGCTCAAGGTGAGAGATGTTGCCAACTCAGCCAAGTTGCCCCTCTTTACTTTGACAATTGATGTGCACAAACAAAGCTGCTTTAACAATGCCACTGACAGCCGTGTGAGTGCGTTTTCAATTTTTTTCGCAGCCACGCTGCGTCAGAATGACCCTTTTTTTGTGGCGACCGATTGCAGCCTTCTGTCTATTTTTCCATCACATTCTTTTTCCCCTCCAGACAGCTTCGTTGATCGCACGTGTTTCCGCTTGAAGCTCTGGAGCCTGGATTTGACGGCATTTTGTCGGCTGAAATGTAACTCTGTGCTGGTGACCGGTGTAGAGGAGCCGGCCCCCAATCGCATTTCTAGCCTCAGAGGAAGCTGCTTGGCGACCTGCTAAGCACGCCCCGCGAGTTTGGACCTGCGTAAAAAAATGCTCAAGCCACCTTTTTTGGGCAAGGCCTTCCTCTACTTCCTCCGCGCATGAACCTTCCCTGCGCCCATGAACCTTCACCTCGCGGCAACAAGAAAGAAACACCGCGCTGGTGAGGTCATGAGCATTGGCTTGCCTTTGATGTCGCCCGAACGTGCTTGGATTCTGCGGTTGCAGGGTGCCTCAAGGGTGCCTCAAGGGTGCAGGGCCCTGCATGGGCCTGGATGGGCCTCAAGGCAGGACTGGGCTTGGCCAGACCTTGGTGTTTCCTGCGCGTTGGCGGAAGAGTCATAAGGCTGGAGGAAGAGGAGGAGCAATAGGAACAATCGGAACAGGGGTTGCTGATGATATATATTTTTGCATTCTTTTTCGCAAGGGTTTGCACTGCGAACCAGTGGTGGGGTCCATACCTGTTCCTAATCAGCATGAATTGCACTGCGAGAGCATTTGGCTGCTATTCCAGCAATTTGGCACCGCAACATGGCAGAAGGCGTCTTGGCATTTGCAAAGGCGTTGGGGGCACCAGGAAAACCTGTGAAACCAATTGCAGTGATAGACTCAATTTTCCTACCTTCGGCTCTTGACAACAAAACTGGACATCAAAAGAACGTGAAAGCTTAGAAAGACGTCAAGTTTTTTTCCCTTTTCTCCTCAACTTAATGGACAGGAAAGAACTGCTTCCAGCCTCCCCCGTGTGTGGGGTGCAGAATCCACTCATTTCAATTAGAGCGGATTTCCCATCCAATTTTCCCAATCTAGCTTTTGCTCAGGAGGGACAATTCGGAACCAGGGGCATCCTGTTGCCCATAAACAGGGCCCAACCCCTTGTCACTAATCCACTTGAACCTTTTTCTTCATCTCTGGGAGGGCAGACCTAGGAAACTGTGCGCCGAGCACGGTCAGCCACCTGTGCCATGTGTGCCACACTCAGGCTACCGGGATGATAGCGAGCTCGCTGATCCAGTGCCTGGACGGGTTTTGGGGACCAAGGTGGACCTCCGACAGATGGATGGTTGGGTGTGCACGAAGAAGCAGCTCTTGAAAAGATCAACTGCCGGGTACCTATTGGAGGTTAGGGGTGTCCATTACTTAGGGACCAAACACCACCCCTTTGTGACCCCTGGTGGTATTCGACATTCTGCTGGTTCCATTTCCCTATGGCTCGTGATTTGGGCCGCGAGTGAGGCCATAAGCTGGGCCCTACGCCGTTTGTTGACCTGGGGTCTTTATTTAACAAGGATTCCATGAAGAAAGTGTACACAACAGAGCTTCGTGATTGGGACATCCAGTATCCTATGAGACTGGGACCCTTAGGCAAAGTAAGTATGCTCTATTAACTTCAGCCTGGCCCTCCGGCTGACCCTGACAAAGTCTGCAACTTGACAATGCTAGTAGCTTGATGGGGAAGCTGCTGGGTTGATCTTTCGGGGGCACGACATAAAACCAACAAACTATAGTACAAACATGCATGTAAAAAGCTGCATGACGAGTTGTCAGCACCATCCCCTTGTTGGAGTGTACGTATGCCTTGGCTGACATGGAGCGCATGAACGTCCTCAGCTAGCCCTCAGGGGCCTGAGCAGGCCCGCACCGTCAAGGTCGTCGATGCCAGGGGGTCCCCAGCTCATCGCCCTGGAAGGATCTGGGGATTTGGAAGCTTTCCCATGCATGTGAGATCACTCTGCAAACATCCCTGATCCTTCTGCTTCGTTTCCGGAGCTGAACGGGTAACCCGTGGATGGATATCGCACGTACCGTCGGCAACGGTACGTCACACTAGCTACCGTGCTAGCAGCCTAGATCCCCAAACTTCCGGGCGTTGGCATCTCGTTGGCATATCGAGGCGCACCTCAAAGCCACTCAAGTCATCAAGGACCTGATTGAAGCCTTGCCCTTCCCGGCGCCGTGGCAGGATCGGTGAAATCCGCTGCTTGAAGCAGCGACAGATGTCCAGCGACAGATGTCGATCGACGGTACGGTCACATCTGAGGCCATCGCAAATGACTGGCAAACGGAGGAGATCAAGTGTGTGGCGATGAACGCCGCTGGGCAGAAACGTATCTGGAGTGGATACCAATGTTTCCTAATGTTTTCAATACGTTGTGAAGAGAGTTTTAGGGGCCATTGGTTTCTCTATCTATGTTGGAGCCACTGCGAAAGTCAAACAGCAGAGGAGCGCACAGGTTTGTCAATTTGTTGGCTTGTGAGGGAGAGGGGGTGTAAGTGACAGGGTGTGTCAGTGCGCCATGTCGCTCTATGCGAATCGCCTCTGGCCAGGACCACTATGTGGAGAATCAAAACTGCCCTCGAGACTTTCTTCTCAACAAGAACAACCGGGTTTTGGTGCCCGTCTTAGTGCCCGTGTCTGGCGTGTTCCTGCGTTTCTTGTTGCGGCATTCCATGGCTTTCAAAAGCGAGCCCGTAGGACACAGCTCGCAGTAGACAGGCTCAGGTTCCACAACCACGGACGAGCACACTGCTCACCAGGCATCGGACGAGCTCACGTGCCGACCGTTCCGTGGGTGTCCGGATGCTGTCCAGTCCGATGGTGGCAGACATGAGCGCGGTCCTGAGGATCCGACGCACCTGACCTCTCTACCGGGCTCTGTGCGGGTTGGAATCCGTTCCGCTTTAGTGACTCGGAGAGAGTAGGGGTTCCGCCGACCTCCTGGACACTGTTGCACCAGCTTGCAATGAACGGGGGGCTTCTCTTTCTGAGGGTTCCAAGTGGGTGGTCTTGGTAGTGCAAACTCTTTCGAAGGGCATGTCAAGATTTGCTTTTGGGGGGAATGTTCCTTTCGAAACTCACTTCGGCTAGTCTGGGCGGAAGATATTTTAGACATCAATGACGGCCGATGATCATTTTTCAGATGCATGATGATCCCTTTAGCTTCAGGTGGGCTTCGTGATTATGAGGGGCTTCTTTTTTCTAGGCGCAGAAAAATTACTTTGACTGTTGGGGATTTGCTTCCAAAAACAGTGAAAAGCAAATCCCCAAAAGTAAGAGACTACTTTGACTTTTCAATCATCCAAAAAAGACGTATTTTTTGAGTGGATGGTTTTGGCAGAATGCTGAGGCCCATGGCTTCCCCTTCGACACCAACTTCGAGACGGTGATGTCAGCATCACCTGATCAGAAATTCATTAAGCGAGTAAGCATCCGCACCACGGCAGTGAGCTATTGAGCATCAATGATTTTTCTTCTTTTAATATGTGATGGTGTGTAAGATAGGCATAGAAACGGATTGCCAAGATCTTTCCTCATAGGCAGGTCCATTGTGATCCCTGTGGGTCAGGGCAGGTAAAGAATGAGGTGTATTTTTTCGAAGGACTGCGACAAATCCAGTTGGAACATTGTGGAACAATTGTCGCAGCAGCCCAGGCATGGTGATCGTGGGTGGCTTCAGATTTATTCTTGGAACTCAGGCATGCAAGAAGCATGCGGTTTCAAGTTCCGAGTTGACAACTCCAGGAGTTACACGATCGCAATGGTTTGTTTTTGTTGCAGGATCATGTCCATTTCCTCTGCAGCCTCACTAATGGGAACCCTGGTTGTCTTGAAGGAACGCCTTAAAGCTGCTTGCTACAAGAGGAAGCGTCGGGCGACCACAGCATTAGATCATTGTCCACCATGCTGTTTTGAATTCGATTCAATGCGTCATGGATAATCTTCTAGACACTCTTCTTGGACCGCATGGATTGCCTTTGCCCTCATGGATTGCCATTCGATTTCCGAGGATGGCAGCATCACCTGGGGAAAGACATGCGCTATGGGCTCTCCAACGCTGAATGGTGGACCATGACAGCTCTCAAGCTTAAAGAGAAGGTCGGCGCCGGCCACCTTCAAACGCGACAACGCATGGCACACGGATGGCACATGGGGCGCGAGGGCGTTACATGGGATGCTGTGTGGGAATTGATGCTGAAGCGTTGGATTTGGGTGCAGAAGGGACACGTGCATCATCATCGTTGTGAAACCGAGACAGCGGCCACGGGGCCACACCTTGGTGCGAAAGAGAAGACACATCACCCCGTAACTTGCATAGAATAATACGAGCGGTCGAAGCCATCTGAAAGTGAAACAGCAGAAGGATGCCAAGAAAAAAGAACAAAACAACCAGTCCAAAAGACTAAAGAATAGCAGAATTCTTTTGACATCTTGGAGAGCCCAACATCTTTGCTAATGGACCTGGTCAGGCAGAGGCTGAGGGCATGGAGTCGTCTTGGGTCAGCGAGGACATGGCTTGGACTGGGACTGGGAGGTTTCAATCAGATTTGTGGGGGATGGCAAGTATCCTTCGGGAGAAGTGACCCAAGTGACCCATTGTGCATGTGGGGAAAGAAGAGGACTGGTTGGTTCATTCGCAGGAGTCAGCGGCACAATGGATAGCAGAGCCTACAGGCATTTTCCAGCAGACTGCATCTTGACTTGAGGCATCCTCAGGGAGTACCAAGGCGATGGTTCGTTCGCAGGTCGCGGGTCCAGACGGCTCGGCCAAGAACTGCGTGTACCCACGAGCGTCAAACCCACCAGCTGACATCGAGTCGATGTACCCAGCTGACATCTGATGTAAGGACACCCTTTGCCGAAAAGAAGATTTGGATGCAGCCATTTGGAAGTCTTTGGATCAGTTGAGCCATCCAGTTCTGCTTTGAGCCTGGGCTGCAAGCATATAGATTGAGTGTCGTATGGCTGGGCTACTTTATCACTCTCAAGCTGTCCAGCTGTGTAGTCGCTGGGGGCTCACCCGGAATCAACATGAATTAGATAATGTTGAAACTTTCCGGCCCATGAAAATTATCAGAGTTCACTGAATTTACCACCTGTTTGGTGTTCGGAACATAGTCATCCAAGGGGCCATGCCATCTCAGTTGCATGATGAGGTGTATGTTGTTTTGCCCTTGGATGGATAGGACCATCTTGCACCAGAACAGGCCGTACTCCAGGATTTTGCCACCAGCTCAGCCACTTCACCAGCTTGGCTCCAGCCTAGGCGATCCTTTCCTTCCTGAGTGCCCAGTCATTGGAATCAACAAGGCTGCTCAAGAGCTGAGCGGCTGGAGCGCTGCCGGCACCGAGCTTAGCACTCAATGCGTTCTCGCAAGCGCTTAGCAGCAGAGCGAGGGGGGAGCTGTTTGGAGGGGGGAAGGGCAAGAGCCAAAGTTAGGCCCT